AGAGAACTGATAGTTAAATTTGCCCATCCCGGATAAACATAACCCTTGTGAGGCAAGGCTACGTGAAAGTTAATGGCTTCGCGCATCCCACATATCTTAATGTAGGATAATGAAATTATGAGCCTTTCCTTAAACTTTGGGTAACTATAACTCTTATTCAAGATCTCTAAACCCACTTTCAACGAATAAAACTCCTTTATAACATTAACATGATCGCCTAATATAAAGAAGCATATGTTAGTGAGCAAAGATCGGTTTGGAGGGCTCATATTAGTACTAGTATATCATTAGTTTATGAAGCTTAAACATGGATCGTTGTACCATTGAACAGATATAGCACTTGACATAAGAAGGGAGTTAAATCTTGCTTGCCTACGTGAATATGAAGGTCCCCAACGAGATTCAAATAGAGATATGTGAGTCATGCGGCAACACAAGCCCACTCCGTCACAAAACAAGGAAACCAGTTGATTACAGGGCTCCTTCGAATTCATATTTCGCGTAAAGCCATGTAGATCAGGAAAACCTATATATGCCATTACACTTAATGGCATTTTTATATAAGGTTCGATAAGTTGAGTTTTCAGCAAAATTTAAATAACCCTAGGTTGCATTAGGTGATGGAAAGTCTAGGACATGAGCTTTACACACTTCTCTTTTTGATTCAAATGAATCAATCAGTTAGCCAGTTTTGGCTAAAATATTCTCACTATTTTCCTTATATTAGACATTTTCTGGAGATATACATTTATTGAGCAAGGCGGTACCTGAAACATTGATAATATGATTTGTTTTGATTAGCGATTGAGCAGTTTATTTATACATTAATGCAAAATTATGTCAACTAATTATTATTGCATATCAAACTTTGCTCAAGATTTGAAAAATTGGATATTACACCCAAGTCTGCTCAACGCATAAAGCCTGTTCTGGAGCAATGGTTGCTCGATGCAGAAGAGCGGTACCAAAATGGAGAAGGACGTCATAATGATGTCCTGGGTACAGATTCAACTAAAAAGCGAAAGCGGAGGACTAGTTTCACACCACAAGCCTTAGACATTCTGAATGAACAGTTTGAAATGAATCCACATCCCTCAGGTAAATAATTTATAGACAAATAATATTTGTTTATACTTTACTTAAATAGTTCATTTACAACTAGATGTCTGGTCAAGACTTGGTCTGTGGAACAAGCCAGCCAATAACTCCATTAATAATGCCCAATAGGTAAAGCTCAAGCTGCAAAAATACCTTAAATTTGCCTCCCGACTTTCAGAACCTTTCACTATTGAGCAAATTTAAGCTGGCTACAGACTTTATCGAAATTGCGTATGTAACAATAGCAAATATCGTATTCTCGGGGCATATATGCTTAAGCAGAAGGCCTTGCTAAAGGTTGCCTAATTCTTTGAGGATAGGTTGGCTGATATTTAAGCCTTGCTTTTCATTACTCCTGCGTTGTCAATCAAAGGGATATGATTCTTTTTAAATGGAATATTTGCTTCGCTCCTTACATCAAGAGAAATTTCTTGGAGGTTATTTTCTTTAATTTTTCTTTTGGGTAGACCTGTACCAACGAGGCTAATCGGCGATAGATAAGACCTGCGATAAAGAGACTATATGGTACGGGTACACAAGCTTTGGTAGCCTAGAAATGCTAATTTGAATTGAAGTTTGATGAAATTTGCGGTAAATGATGGCCGAAGGGCGAAGTGATCTCGTTAGCTCGAAAAGGGGGCTGGGTTAACCCATAAGTTCTTCCCTAACATCTATAACAAATTTTGAGGATAGCATAGCGGTAGCGAAGCTCAGGTAGAGGAACACTTTAGAAGCGTGGATCTTTTGGTCCTCATAAGATCGAGCGTCTGTCATCCGCTGGGATTAGATGCTGTCTCGCAACGATATGTCATGTAAGTGAGATACAAAGATAAATCGCTGTGGCACAGCGCTGATATGTCGCATGTTGATGTTGCGTAGGAATCGGTCGTAAGATTTTGTGCAAAAATGTGGCATTTAGATGCTGAGGTGAGATTGTTTGCAGTGCTGAGGCTCGAAGTTGTAGTGCTAAGTTGCAACACAACGAGAAATCCTTCCATCTAATAAGCTAAGGGCTTATATATTTATAACACCCGAAGCCAAGCGTTGTTTTATAAAATTTCTATACAAACGCAGAGATTACTTGTTATTAGGGAAGGTTCGAAAATAAGCATTAAAAAAATTATGTTAGACCTCTACACTTTCAGCCATAATGTCTCTTTGCTCAATTTTCGTTTGCTAAATAGGAATTGAGATGACGACATTGGCAAATCAACTGAACTTTGATAGAGAAGTAATTCGAGTATGGTTTTGCAATAAAAGGCAGGCCCTGAAAAATGCGGCTACACGGCGCTCCACTGGCATTGCCGAAAATCAAACTGGAATTTCTGATAGCTTTCATCATCTTGAATCAAGTTCGCAGACAAATATGTCAGAGCAAAGCCGAATAGATTCCCTGCTTGTTTCGGCCTTCCTTAAGGGAATCTCTCGTCCAAACTATCTCTTAGTCGAGACACCACTTTGCTCTTTTTCTTCCACAGAATCCTCCTCTCCTTCCACTGTGTCCTGCTCCTTTCCTTCAAATGAATTTTATAATCTTGCCTCGTACTCTCCATGCCATATTTTTAAAGGTACAGCTAACTCACTCTACTCAACTGGAT